TACTTTACCTGCAGCAACATCTTCCTTTCAGTTTTTGTGTTCTTTTGTCTCTTTTCCTTATAAACAGAATTTATTTCAGTGAGGTTCTCTGTAGACCCTCAGCAGAAGACACTCCTTATGCCACGTGCACAGTTTGGCTTGTGCTTCTACAGCACCTTGTTGGGTGTTTATTTCCCAAATATTACAATATCTAATAGCAAACCAGAAAGAGGTAAGTTTTCAGTGCAGACTAGAAAAAATGTTCCTCTAGAAAAAGAGGAAGCCTGCAACTATTAGAATGGATGGAGAGGAGATAATCCCCTGCCAGAGGATACTCACAATGCAAGCTTGTATTTCAGACAAACCTTTCACAGCAACATACCTCCCATGCTGAAACCTAACTTGAATGCCAAAGTTTCACAATTTACAGGACATTCTTCTCAGAAGGATTATATTCCTTGCTCAGATTTGACAGTAATGACCATTGTGAACCTCTTTACATATTAGAAAAGCAATGCACTGCTTTTGGATCAAAGAGGTACTTCAATGCATACACAAATTGTCTGTACCGTTAGCATTAAATGAAGTTATGACTGGCACTGAAGTGTGACCAGACTTCTCAGATGGTTTCAATGTCTGGAAAGAAAAGCTCAGTAGGTTCATAAATCTAATCTATCTTTTTCATAACAAAACCTAGGGCAGCAATAATTGCAATAAAGTTTTACAAGGCGTCCTGAGAGGAATAAAAACATAACTGCTCTCTGCACCACAGCTAAATGAAGCAAAATTAATTGAGTTTTTTTAAAGCCCATAAGGACTTCAAATCAACAGAACTTTGTAAAGGATGCTGGCAAAAGACTTCTGAGGCAGATCCTAATTATTGGTTGCTTTGATTTTAGTGACCTTGCTTATCTTACCGTTCTAAACAGACATTTTGAACAAGAAAGTTTCAAATGCCCAGACAGTTTAAAGGCTGCTTTGGGTGCAAGACTTACAAAGAGCCAACTTCTGTAAGTTAAACTGAGTTGTTTTAGTGTTTTTTTGCCATGTTAATCCCCATTCTTCATAACACAGATCAGACCACTAAGTTCAGTACACATGTGATTTCAGTGGCAGAGATGAAAAGCCAAGTCTTCAGAACTCCAGATAGCCTACAGAAGTGAGCCGAAGGGTGACAGTTGCAATGTGTCAGCTTTTAAGAACTCTCTTTCTATTTGCAGAATGTCCATGCGCTGACATTTCCCTCCAAGCATTTCTGGTGCCTTTTAAAGCCTTACCTTAGACTGTGCCTTCCACAGTATGTAAAAGAGAAACAGCAAATACAGGTACAAAACTACCCAGCCCTACGCAATTACTGTTCACAGTGATCAAGCAATCCTGGTGAGAAGCTGATGCTCAGCAAAGCTGGAATACACCAAATCTCCCCATACGAAATACAGGACGGGGAATTCTTCAACACTTAGCAGTAACATACTGCTATATACTTTATGAAGCGAAACGAAACAACTAAAGTCAAATGTTCCAAAATATGGTAGGGTGAAGACTGGAATGCTTACTCAATGTAAATGAAGTATAAACATTTATATGGTGCTAAACCCACCACAGACACTTCAACCTCTCTAATTCTTGTCATTTCCACTCTTCTGTCCTTGCTGCCATCAAATTCCTAAGTTATAGTCCCTATAGAAAGCAAACAGGATAGTCATCTGACAAGTACTATACGCTATCTGTCAAACACAACTGATTTTGCAGGCTGCTCTACCATAGCAGCCTTATCTTACACCCACCAAAAGGTATAAAGTGCCTGAATTTTAAAGAAGCTTCAAATGTTTTTCTTCTTTGACAGCCATAATTAATTTAAAACTATTTCTGCATTCATGAATGATCAACTCTTACTACTTTTAGCTTTCCTGCAAGAGTCTGAACTGCAGCCTCAGGCAAATACTCGCATATCGAAATCAAACACTTGTATACACAAATAAAAACATGCATTCTCCAAAAAAAATAAAGAGAGAAAAGATTCATAAGATTCATCTTGCCCTGGTTCTCTTCTTCACTCATTGCTGCACTAACTTGCCCCTCTTCTTCTCTACAAGCAGTCCTAAAGGACTATTTTTGTTCTTATTCACTTCTCCCTCTAGCCTTTCTTTTGGCAGTATCATCTGCAAACATCTTTGACTGCTGTCTCTCTGCTCATAGCTCAAAGACACTCTTTATTCTCAGACCCATCTTCTTTTGCTCAAGATGAAATCTCAGCCTTTCTCATACCTTCTTGCCTTGATTTCAAGGAGACTAAAGCATGTTTCTCCCTCCAGAATCACACTTCTCTACTGTGGACTTGCCACTTGCTCTACCATTCTAGGCTTCACATGCTGTTTGCACATCTCTTCCTAGGTTTTCTCATCTAAGTGATTTAAAGGCCACATATGCACAACGTGGTGATTGGCAGTGCTGTGCTAATTCTGCTTTTCATTTGAGCAGCAGCAATCTGATCCATCTCTTCTCTCAGACTTACATAGTTGCATTACTATGGGATGTTACCCATTTCAATTTAAGCTACCTCAAGAAGCAGATCTATGTGGGCAGGCACAACTGATTGCTCTAAGTGACTGTCAGATATAAGCTGGACTAGGTGATCTGAGACCCTGTGCCAAGGAAGAAGCAGGGTGCAAGGGTGCAACCTTCTGCATCTGGTTGTATAAAGTACACTTTCAGACAGGCTGCCTAACACAGACAATCTGTCACGTTACATCTCTTCTTCAGCCTCTGAGCATCTCACATTTTGACTATATCATATTCTTCAGCATTGCTCTGTACAGTTCTGCTCACTTTCACCTTTGCAGAATAACTATATTGCTTATACAACACAGAGTCATTTGCCTGCCTTCTGTTCTTCGGGCAATAAACTTACAGATATTTAATCTACCCAGGATATTTATAAAATTGCAAACTCCCAAGATAACAAACTCATTATCCTGACACTTCACATTACTGTCATCCTACACATGCTACAATAAATAACTCCTCTACATTTCTTCATTTGCATTAGAAACTCTCTTTAGCCAATACTGTTAATTTTGCTTGCAGTTTAAAATGGAGGCTGTTCTTTCACTACACATCATTCTCTATTTCATCTGCTACAGCTCTGTTTCAATCCCATTGGACATGCCAAACACAATTGGTTTGACCCTTTAATAACTAAGGGGTAGAATCATAAAATGGTTTGGGTTGGAAAGAACCCTAAGATCACCCAGTTCCAAGCCACTGCCATGGGTCGGGACACCTCACACTAGACCAGGTCACCCAAGGCTCTGTCCAGCCTGGCCTTGAACACTGCCAGGGATGGGGCAGCCACAGCTTCTCTGGGCACCCTGTGCCAGCACCTCACCACCCTCACAGTAAAGAACTTCTGCCTTATATCTATCCTGAACTTCCCCTGTTTCAGTTTGAACCTATCCCCCCTTGTCCTATCACTACAGTCCCTGATGAAGAGTCCCTCTCCAGCATCCTTGTAGTTGCCTTCAGACACCAGAAGCTGCTCTGAGGTCTCCACGCAGCTTCTCTTCTCCAGGCTAAACAGCCCCAATGCTCTCAGCCTGTCTTCATACGGGAGGTGCTCCAGCCCCTGCTCATCCTCGTGGCTTCCATGTCTTTGTTATGTTGAGGACACCAGAACTGCACACAGTGCTGCAAATGAAGTCTCACAAGAGCAGAGTAGTAGATAGAAATATCTTTCAGGACTGCTTCCCTGCACCACCCAATGTGCTGAGCTTCCTTCCAGCATCCCGGATGTACCTGCCACAACCACTCTGCTCTGGCCTCTTAAGTATCCTGTGCTCCATCTACTTCATCCTTCACTTTTCCTTGCTACATCTCTCATTGTTTTCTCAAAATTCCTCACTCTTTTGGTATTTCTTTTGCCCTTGGACTCATCTTGTTTGCTCAACAGTGACACAAAGGGTATAAACAATATATAAAAATAGCCACTCGTACTGGTGTTTTCCTTGTGCACCCCAATACCATACAAACACTACCAGTAGCACTGTTATCCCACAACAAAACTGCTGATTATTGAAGTCAGAAAACACAACCAGCGTGACCCGTATAAATCCAAGCATTCATAAGACTCCTTTCCACTTTTTCCACCCTTTTGTGCCATGCATGTACACACCTGCCATTTTATTTTCTTCTATCTGCACAGCACATCCTGCAGTATATAATGAGTGAAAAATTACAATGCTGCTTCTGCAGGGTTGTGAAAAAAGAAAGGTTTGCAGCAACAAAGAAAAAACATTACTAGACAATTTGGTATGGTAAGAAGAGAGAAAAAAGACATGTTTTTGGGTCCAATGTCCTTTACATCAGGTCCAAGAGACTGAATAGTCACTGGGAACAGTGCCATTCCTTTAATACTTTTTAATTTAGTATTAACCTCAATCCTGATTAGAAGATATGAACAACTGGATTCAGCCTTGATTGAACACCAATTAACGACAAGAAGATGAAGTTTTCTACACCACGCTCCAAGTCCCCAACCATCAGTGTTCTGCTGACCGTGCCATGTGACACAGTGACACTGTCATTGCTATGCCACATACCTTTTTGTGGCCACCCTGTTTTTCAAATATAACAGACCCCTAATTGACTGGGTTTTTTTACAGAGAGTCTCCAGCCATTAAAGTGAGGAAATAGTAGTTAAAATGGTGGCAGGGCTTCCACTTCCCTTGAATTTACTTCTACCAGTTAAATGATGCTGGGTTCAAATCATCCAACTGACTGGCAAAACCAGCTCCATCATTTTTTTGAGGTTACTGTAAGAAGTCTAGAGCATAATCTACTGATTACAGTAGATTCCCACTTCTCTGCATCCTTAATTTGATTGTGGTAATCATACAGCAGCTGTGTAATCATCTTTCCCATCAAAGAGGACAAAGCAGAGTAGCAATCTTCAAGTTAAAAAGGGAGACAAAGTTCTGCTTTCTATGAGTAAAACAATTCAAAAAGTAGGAATGACTTCTGACCTTTAGCCTGCGGTCCTGGTCTCCGCTGCACAGAGAATTAACAGACACTTTAAAGGTCTTCCAAGCTGGATTTAAGTTATTCATCACAACCTGTGAGTGAAAAGAAAGGAAGGGAACCCTTAACATTTGCACATCTCCAAACAGAATGCTAACAAGAGCAATTTCAATACAGTACTGTTTTCAGTACAGTACATTCATCAAAAAGAGAAGAAAGCAGAGCTCAGCTGGAGGTCTACAGAAAAACCATGCATGGGATATGTGCCCTTGAGCTACCTGCAGTTTGCAACACTCCTCCTCAGGAAAGCCCCAAAAAGGAGAATGGGTGGGAAATGGGAGCCGTACACAGATCATGCTACAGGGATTGCCCCAGTACTGCTATGCTTCAGAGGGAGCATAATTCACATGGGAAAGGTTGTAGAATACATCACTGAACTGGAAGCCATGGAAGAGATGTAGGACTGGTCAATGGGGATGAGCAGCATCGATTTACACACACGCGGTCTGCATTGCTAGTAAGACTTTATGGGATCCATAACAGACAGGCTTACAATCCCAAATACAGGTCCAGTCTGTACCCTTAAATGCTGCCTTGAATACAGTGCCAGTTAATACCATGGAAGCAATAATGGCACTGGGACAAAGGAAACAAATGTAAAGCACCCAGATTTACAAACCTCTTAACACCAGCATCCTGGGAGGAGGTAGAGAAAATGCAATATAGGATTAATAGCAAAAATATGATCCTGTCTGTAGTATGGTTTGGGCTAGATATAATACATAGAACTCCCAACCTTCAGAGTATCTTCCAGTTTAATTACATTTGGATCTTTGGCTTCAGTACCATCTTCCCTTACTCTCTTGGGCATAAGTCAAGACCTGATACCCATTAGTCAACAATTACATGAGAGAGAGGAGTGTTTCGAAATGTTTGTGCTTGTAATGCCCTTTGTGATATGAGGAGCACAAACTATTCCCTCTGATAGCCCACCTCTGCCCTTGGAATGTAAATCCAACCCTATTCTTTACCTCAGTCCTGTGAACAAGTTGTTGGGTTGCATCATCATTCACCCGGAAAATCTCCAGAAAAGGATCAGATTTGCTGAAAAAGTCCTAAAATAAAATATAGGACAGGTTACTCTTGAGACCTGATTTTCCTTGAGCTTTTCAGGCACACTGTGCTGGTGTGTCCCTGCCTGCTAATGAAAAAGGACAGCCGGCATGGCTTTAGTGAGACCTCTGGGTGTCTCTCAGCAATATTTCATTCTTGTCCTTGTTCCACCAGGATTTCCACAGCACTGCTGTTGTCATCAGTTTAAATGCAGTCCTGGCAGGCAGAACTGTAAAATGTCATTTTACAGACTTTTCCTTTCTTACATCCAGTCCAGACTCCTGAGCTTCAGCTCCTTCATCCATCTAGCTTGTTTCTTTGTGTCTCCATACCTGTTTGGTCTTTTGACAACAGTTTTATTATGCAAGGCCCTTTGAAGCATATTCTACAGTGGGTACTATTCGCCCACCCTCTCAAAACAAACTAACTCTCAAAACCAACTAACAAAAGTACTGGCAAGATGGATTAGAGGTTAGAGAAGCAAGTCCTCTTTAGGATGTGACAACAGGGCTCATGTTAAGATGACAAACAGAGCAGGGGAATATAGAAAATTACTTGACATCTCTTAAGTATCAGCAAATCTCTGACAGACATACTCACTGCACTGCAGAATGCCTTCTCCTAGTCTTGCATCCAGCTAACAACCCTGAGCACTCTTACACAAACCTCAATTAAGTTGCTTTCTGTTTAAGTCTGGCCACAGCATCTTTTGTTTCAACATCTCAATTCTTGTGGCCATGCTGGCTGGGGGTGGAAGTGTAGCTGGATGTTAGCCCTGCATAGCTGGAGAGGGAAAGCTAGCCAACTCAGATTTCTAACAGCACAATGCTGCAAAAGCAGGATTCAAATGGACTCAGGCCATTTTCTGTAGTTTCAACTCCCTCCTTCACTTTCTTCTTCAAAAGAACCACATGATTAACTTTATGCATATGAATATTGTTCTTCTCCATAGGCCATATCCAAAACCAGAGACCTCCACATCAATCTGGGGAAGTGAGGAATTTTGCTCTTCTGGTATTTCTATAAAAGCTTTAGTGTAAAAATGACTGTAATATGCATAGCCCTACCATTTTCTCCTCACCAAATGCCCACCATACTTATATTTGACTAGCTAGATAGACACTGGGATGGGAACAACTTTGGATAAGATGCTGGCCAAAGTCTGGGCACATCATTTTGGTCAAATTTGTCTTTAGTGCATTATTACAACTCCAGAACTGCAAAATAAGCAAATAAATCAGGGCTTTGAAAAAGGGGCACCTGAATTTGAATGTCTGGAGAAGGAAGTGAGTCCTGCAGATCATGAAGCCTTGGGCAAGGCTCAAGGAAACTGAAGTCTTTTCCATCCATGAAGATGACACCTATCAGTGCTGTTTTTCGAGTGCTGTCCTACGAATGATCTGTTTCTTTTCATACTAGAGAAAAGGTAATGGTATGTTTAGAACTGCAGCAAAGCACATGCATACGTATTTGTTAAATCTTATCATGTGGAGCTCTAAACCCACAAAGCTGTGGGTTTGCCTATGTGTTCCAATTACGTGGTTATAGGACATTTAATGTGAAAGTGTGCAGAACGAGCAGAAACCCCAACAAATTCCGTAACTCCAGAGCTTGACTTAAGGATGTAGATTTAGTATCCGGACTCCATTCACCACTTGTAACTGATAGTATATAGAGGCCTTTGGTGATCCAATTCTGCCAGATTACTACTGCATTATTACACAGTGAGGCTGCTGGTTTAATCCTAGTGATGCCATAAATCTGGAGTGCACAGGGATAAAAAAGATTGAGCTGCTTCTTCTCACATGTAAGTACACTGATTAAAGCTGACTATAAGCCTAATGTTAACAGATTCTTTATCAAACCTAAGTTTGATAAGAAAAGTTATCTGAAAGAAAACACCTCAAAATCATACATCCAAAGAATAGCACCCTGGAGTGCAGACAGATTCTAAAACGAAACCAGGATTTTGTGTATCATTCCCAGCTGAGTATCATGAAAGCTGAAACAGCATTTCAGCACAAGGGGAGTAATTTTTAATATCTGGTTTTAGCTACCAAGGCAATACCACCTAAAATGAATCAATGCTGCATGGTATCTTTTATCACCCCCCTTGAATAGAAAGTCAAAGCCTAATTCCTTTCAGAACAAAGGCACAAACAAAAATCCTTCAGTACGGAAGATGCTTTGTAACAACTCCAAAATGATAAGTTGAAGAAACATTTTTATTTGGTAGTTATTCATGTTTTCAAAGCTTTTTTATTGTTATGCTGAATCTATCAGCTTTGCATTATCTCACACGAATATCCTCTTGAAGAAGAACCGCAGCAATAAAGGTTTAATGCTTTGCTACTTTAATAATGTTTAAATGATTAATGCATTTGCTAGTGGTAGAATGCAAATTGTTCTTTCAGTATGTGCAGCAGTTAGACAGTAATAACACAAGTACAAGGCTTAAACTTTAACATAGATAAAAAAAAGAGCAGTATTAGCCTGTAGTTTGCAGCCATTTGCTGGAGAATCTTTCCTTAGCAATGATAACTGCCTCTTTCAGAACAGGAAAAGCAGTTTGCCTGCCCCAGTGCTCGTTATTTATTATGGCTATCATAAAAACATAGCTGCTTGTTACGGAAATTGTGACATAGCTATTAATGCAATAGAGCCTTCCCAAAAGTTATTGTCCCACTGTGAAGTGTTCTCAGTGGATCTCTTGAAACAAAGACGTGCCAGTTGAGCTGACAGGGCTTCAATGAAACACAAAAATGCAGTTCTACCTTCCAAACAAGCACCGCAATAAAAAATACAACCTTTATCTCTGCAAAGTCAGTTAACTAAAGGAAACCTTCATACCTGTGGCTTTCCTATGATTTTTCTCTGAATGTTTCTGCCACCCTTACAGGAACAATGGAGTCAGTCTTGCTTGGATTGTGGCTTCTCTAAACCTCTTGCAGTCTTATGTGGAGGGAGTGATAAAAACCACCAATAATACAACCAACGAACATATTCTGCCTGTTAAATTATATTAACAAATCTTGTTGAATCTGCCAAAAATATGCTGTTCACATCTTTTTCTCTAGTGGAGGAAACTTTTAGGTTTAAGGACCACAATCTGGATCCTCTTTCAAGGAGTTTTTCTTTCAAGGGTGGAGGAAGGAAATTCCTGTCCATTCAAGATACCACTTATGGTAATGGATGGATATAGAATCATGGAATAGTTAGGGTTGGAAAGGACCTTAAGATCATCTAGTTCCAACCCCCCTGCTGCGGGCAGGGACACCTCACACTAGACCATGTTGCCAAAGGCTCTGTCCAGCCTGGCCTTGAACACTACCAGGGATGGGGCAGCCACAGCTTCTCTGGGCAACTTGTGACAGCGCCTCAGCACCCTCACAGTAAAGAACTTCTTCCTTATATCCAACCTCAGCTTCCTCTGGTTTAGTTTGAAACCATCACCCTTTGTCCTATTGCTACAGTCCCTGAAGAAGAGTCCCTCTCCAGCACCCCTGTAGGCACCCATCAGATATAATTTATTTTAATGTCTAGCCCTAAAGCACATCTAGAACCTCCCCTATCACCTTCCCTTATCTGCAAGCTGTGGGACATTAGGATTCAAGTTGTCTTCTGCCAGCCCTACAGCTACCAGTGCAGGAATCCCTGGGTTAACAAAGGTGATCCTGTGTAGCAGAGCACGAATGACTGCTTCCATAGGCTTTCTCTGTCTTTCAGGAGACTCCAAGGCCAGTTCCAGCCCTCATTTTTTTTCTCTGATGTTATATACTGTTCTGGGTTCAGCTTGGGCTTGAACCACAACAGTTTCTTTTTGGGGCCCAAAGTGGGGCACGAAGGGTTGAGATAA